TTTCCCTCCCTGTGGTCCAAATAACACTACAAGAAAACATCCTGCTGCCTTTTAAAGAGGATGGAAGGAAGGTTTTGGTTAAGGCACTCGTACTGTTGTATGAGATTTTAATGAGATGGAAATAAAAGGAAACTTTTATATTTGATAAAGGAGTCAAATCCATTCATTGCAGAGCACAAGGCTGCTGACAGCCTGTAAGACCTTTTCAGACATGGAAAGGGGAGCTAGCAAGTGGAAAACAACTACATGTTTGCTTATGGGGGGGCGGGAGGGGAGTCTGTAGAAATGTACGGGTCTGGTAGGTGGCTAACGAGTTTCTTCACAGGTAGAAGAGGATTTGGTTTTCGGATGGTTTCCTCTTTGTCCCTTTTCTATCAAGAAAGGGGCGTAGAGCTGTGGAAAAACAGGAGTAATGGCTTCACTGGGGCATGACTAGTGTTTAATTTTTCATATCATCTAAACCAGTGAAGTAAGAGACAGGGACTCCTACCCTATAATTAATTACGCTAACGAGTTTCTTCACAGGTAGAAGAGGATTTGGTTTTCGGATGGTTTCCTCTTTGTCCCTTTTCTATCAAGAAAGGGGCGTAGAGCTGTGGAAAAACAGGAGTAATGGCTTCACTGGGGCATGACTAGTGTTTAATTTTTCATATCATCTAAACCAGTGAAGTAAGAGACAGGGACTCCTACCCTATAATTAATTACATGAGATTTGGTTCCTCCATCCTGACAGAGCCTTTTGCTAGATCCAGATCTTAGTGGCTTTTAGGAGAAAACTCTCCTGAAAGGGAGTTTTGTTTTATTTCTTTCCTCGCCTTCCCCAGTCACTGTCTAGAAGGACTGGTAGCTCTGCTGGCAAAGGGGATTTTACAGATTTATGCTTAGTGGTTCTTTCTATTGTGAAATTTCTCATTTTTTAGAGAAAACAGACAGACATTATGAAATGTGCAAACTTCCACATGGGTTGGGAACGGGTTAATAACTGGTACCTAATCCTTCTCCTGTGACAGCCCTGTAAAGACAGAAAGGGAGATCTTGGGAAACCTCTGCTTGCTTACGAGAGAGATTTCATCTTCACTGAGGAAAAAGGAAACTTTTACCTGTAAATAGGAAGGCCTGGCAGGAGGTGAGGTGGGGTGGAAGGATTTGCATTACTGGTACATGCTTGATACCAGCAATTGGACGACACTGTTGGCTGAGCCTAGAGGTAGAATAATTCACTTTTTTATTATTGGATGAAATGATTTATAATACAGCATTTGAAGATCAAATTGCATAATTCCTTTAAAATATGCTGTACATATTTTTAGTCCATGAGGCAGTCCCAACTTCGTTTCTTCCCACAGTTTGTTGTGCTTCCCTAGCAGAGCTAAAGGAGAACTAGATGTGTCCCAGCTGGGATGTCACTGTGGGCACATTATGTTGGATGAAGAAGACAAAGACAGAGTTATAAAATGCCACACTTGCTAAGGAAGGTGATGGTTTAGATACTTCTGATACGTTTTCAATATGGTCTTTTTTTCAGGGCTTCTTTAAGTGCCATGTGTTTCTAGGAGGTATATGATACATGAGATATTCTTCTACCTTCTGCTAGCTGACGGGAGAAATAATTGCTTTCCCTTCCTTAGCACTGTCCTGCTCTAGAGTACTTTGGCATGGGTGGTGTGTGTCAGCCGTTGTATCTCTTCACTGACCATAGTACCTAAATGCTGCCACTAAGATTTCCAAATCTGTATCAGAATTAAAATAAGTTTTCTGTGCATAAATTTGCAAATAGCTGCTCTAATCTTGTCTAAATCGATTCCCTTTTCCTCCTCTGCTGCTCGGGAAACCTGTATACAGTGCAGAAAGGGACTGGGTGTTTGAAAGCTACATTTAAGTTCATGTCAGTTCGCATTTCAACACACAAAGTCAATAAATGCGTATTTGAGTAGCTTTAGTAACAAGTGCTTGAAGGATCAGAGCTGTGATATATTATTTCTGAAACCATAAGGTTTATGAATTATTACCTATAGGTTGTGTTTTCTAGAAATTAATAATCTAGATGCCCCTGTTGACAAATGGTATTTAAAGGCTTGCCAAATGCTGAAAGTTTATTTTATGCAGGTTCTGTACATAAAAATTAATCTCGTGTTTATTACACAACAGGTGGCTTCATGGTTTTTAAATCTTGATCCTTCAAGCTACTACAGGTAGAGCTTTATGGCCACGTTGGTGGCCGTATAGACACAATGCTGACTTAATAGTTATTACTGCTGATCGAGAGGAAGCAGGAATCGGGCGTCATGGGGAATACCAAAATCAAACAAAACCAGAAAATGCAGAAAACCTCATGGAACCAGAATTATTTTTTTTTCCTCACAAAGTTAGAATTGACTTCCTTTGCCATTAGAGTTTCCATTTATTTAGAAATCGAAGTTCTGTTCTGTTTGCCTGATTAGTTAATTTTATAGCACCTTATTCCTCTAGATCAGCCTAGTGGTGGTGCGTGGAAGGTCATTCACAGGGGAAAATTATTAAGCTCTAATGGGCTCAAATTAAATAGATGCACTACAGTTTTTATCCCTTCTGCAGCATATCTGTTCTTGAAATCAGGAGAAAGGCAAAATTATTGAGTGTTTAAGAAATATACTCTCAATTGGAGTACATAAGCTTTTATTTTGCCTACTGTGTTTCTAAACTGTTCCCTTTCTATTTTTCAGAGAAAACCTGAAGCTTTTGTAGTTTCTGCTGTCAAGAGTTTTATCCTACTGCTATCTTCAGGTTTTCCACTCTGGGATTGAAATACCTAATGACAGATTATTTTTCTTTCGGAAGCTTTATCTTACCAGACTATCCAAAGCAGCTGGTATGTAGCACATCAGTACACTTCTCTATTAAAGCAGACCACTTCTGCAGAAATCTGGCAGTACTTTCTCTTAACTGCATCACCCACAAACTGGACAGAAGGTGAAATAGATAGTTGTACTTTCAGAAGGTTTGTGAAGTACCTGTTAAACACCTATTACGAGGCTGTTAAACATTTGCTTAAGTGAAAATTACAGTTACACGTTGTCATATGCGCAGCCAGCCAAACCTTACACTGCTTATGTGTGCGGTGGCTGAACTACCAAGCTGTTAAAAGCTTGCAGACTTTCACCTTGGGGCACCGAGATACAAAATCTCTTAGGCACTTTAAAGCACGTCATTTATTTATATTTTAAGATACATATCTTAAAAGTACAGTTTAGATAGAATATCTTGGGGTTTTTTTTCCTGCAAACTTTCTTCCTGCCTTTTGCCAATACTCCACCTTCTTTGGGTATGCCAGTCTGCCAATTACATGTTTCACACATCTTTTCGTTTACTTTTCATTTGTCATTTTTGAGATTCTGCTGTCTTTTTGTGTGCTCAACATCTGTACCAGAATACAATGCTCTACTTTCTTACCTGTGGCTAAATTAGCTTGGTATATGTAGCATCACTTTGGCATTGAATTGATAATCATAATTATTAGAGCATAGTGTGGAGGTGGCTAATTATAAACTGAGATTCTCTCACTTGGTAAGAATGGTTGTGGATTTTTTAATCAAATAAAGCAAGATTTCACTGTAATTTGACACCAGCTGTGAAGTGTGTATGTGTGGCAGGTGGCATATCTGTGTGCATGACCATCACAAGAGAATCTGTCGGGCTTGCAGTGAGCGTTATTTGACTTCTTAGCTCAGTTGAAAAACAGGTAAGATTGTTGGAAAGTGATGGAGGGGCAAGATTTGTAATGGTTAGTACATAGTCACAAAATTCCTTAACACTGAACTAAGGAATACAG